GGTGCAGTCCAGACAGTAAGCATTGCATTCAACTACATTCTGTTGTTAGGACATACTGGTGACAGCGACCTCTGCAATCTACTGTGATGTCCTCCATGAATTGATATACTAGTAGCACTAACAAAAATGTTAAGTCTGCATGAGATGATATGCAGTGTTGTTCTGCTTTCTCTGTTTACTCTGCTGAATAGAGGAAACACGTGGTTTCATTTTTGAAAACCATTGCTGTCAAAAATGTAACAGCAGTGGCACACAGCATTGAAACAACAGTGGATTCAAAGAATGAGTGTCTGCCAAGCTTTTTGAAATGAACTTAAACCCCCCAAACAGCTCAATAATAAAATGGGAGGAAAACAGCTCCTTTAAAAAGTACATTTCCCCCCTCCCCCTCAAAGTGTGTAGTGCAAATATTTGGTGCATCACTCAGCTTAACGTGCATTTGGCAGTTATTCTCTAACATTCCACTGAAATGCAATTGGTCCATGTAAACAAATAAACAAAATCTGCTCACTTTCTTTTATGGATTCAGAAAGCAAATATCATTTTGCATTTTTATGCATTCAGAAATCAAATGCCACATACTGGAACAATCTAACAATCCAGTGTACTGGGTGGTTGTGTATCAGGACAAGTTGCTATGAGGTACTGAATCTTTTCCAGGAATATAAACCATAGAAGAAAGTAGATCGGTAGGTATGTTGCCCAAAGAACGGGTGAGGGGGACTAGGGTTCCCCTCCAGCCGTCAGTGATATTTCAAATGTTGGGGGAAATTAGCTTGTGAGAGGCTTGGGTGACCTTCAGACAATGGACACCAGTATATACCAACAGTAACACCCCCCACCTCCCATCACCACTTGCCAGCATAGTTAATGAGGGGATTTTCAATGACATTTGGAGGGTCACAAGTTGTGTACCCCTTTCTTAGAAAGGAGGGTGTGATAAAAAATGTGATCTTATTATAACTTATCTACACTGCCCAGTTCTCTTGCCCCATGGGATCCTGTCATAACTACACTCACCCCTCTGTTCTCGCAGACTTCATGTCTGCGGTTTTACATATTCACAGAGGGGCGACCTCCATTTAAATCTATGGGGTATGTGCCATATGGGGCTTGAATATTTGCTAATCTCTATTTTGTGTGTGTGTGTGTGTTTAGGGAGTCCAGAATGGATCCCCCTCAAAAACAGAGGGCCAATTGTATTTGTTATGAAGCTCACTCACTGCCTCAAAACCCAGTGCTTCAGAAAACCATATGTTGGTGGTGCAACCTGGCTTCTAAGATAGCTTGTGGGGGGCACTATCAATTGTTGCACTGGTGCAACAACTGTTAGATATGAATTAAAAAATCTGTGATGACATGTATCTGGTTTATGAGATTATAAATGCTGATCAGAATGCCAGCCTACAAGTCTTTAGCTCTGGACACTCTTGTTTTTTGTTTTGTGCCTTCAAGTTATTTTCAACTTATGGCAACCCTAAGGCAAGGTTTTCTTAACAAGGTTTGCTCTGAGCGGGGTTTCCCTTTGCCTTCCACTGAAGTTGCAAGAATATGACTTCCCCAAGGACACCGAATGAGTTTCCATGGTCAAGATTTGAACTTTGATCTCCAGAGTCCATTGCTAAACCACTGCACCATGACACTCCTTGGCATTCCTAGTAACAGTTTAATCTCCCTATCATCACCCATGCAAAATATTTATTATTTATTATTATTATTATTATTGCAGACAACAGAGTGTAAAAGGGATAGATTAGTATTTTGGGATCCAGGGACCACAGACTGGAGGGGGGGGGGGGAAGGAGGGAGGGGAGCATATACCAGAGCTTGGGTAAAAATGATTACAATGTTTGGGGATGCTTAGGGAAGAGATGAGGAAAATGTATATAAATTATACATAGTGTGGAGAAAGTGGATAGGGAGAAAAGTTTTTCCTTCCTTCAATATTCTAGAAACCACTAGGATCAATAGGGTCATTCACTGATGCTGAATGGTGGCAGGTTTAGGACAAATAAAAGAGAATAGTTCATAGTGAAATTGTGGGATTCACTAGAAGATATAGGGATGGCTAGCAAGTGGGACAGTTTTAAAGGGAAATTCAATGTCCTGTTGTTATTTTCCTCCAAGCTGGCTTTGAATTATGCTGACCCTATGAATAAGAGATCTTCAAGAGTCCTGTTCATCCACTGCCCTTGCAAACTCAGAACTTCCTTGATCAAATAATAACTTCTGTAATATAGTCTTCTTTTCTTACTGCCTTTCAGTTTTACCAGCAACCTCCTGCTCCTGTGAGTTATGTCTTCGTGATATGTCCAAAGTATGATACCTTCCATTAGTCACTTTTGCTTCTAAGAAGAGTTCTGGCTTGGTTTATTCTCAGTCCCATTTATTTGTCTTTTTGACAGTCGTTGGTATCCTTAGAACTCTCCATTAGTTCAAATGAGTTGATTCCCTTTCTGTCAGCTTTTTTCACTGTTCAGCTTTCACAGCCACATGTAGAAATCAGAAACACTGTGGCATGGATGATTCTAACGTTGGTATTTAATGATATATCTAAATATCTGAGGAACTT